ACACTAGAGGCCAGTGGAGTGGCCGAGCGGTCTAAGGCGCTGGTTTGAGTGTAACTACTAATCATATGGAAAATATGTCACACTCAGTTGATTGAACGAGATGTTGGAGTCACTAGTGTGCTTATTACTGAGACTCCAACATGTAAAATTTTTTATAGATGTTTCTTTTTCACTCTGTATAGATTATTTGTGCACTTATTAAGCGGAAACTTGATAAAAAGGTAATGTCAAACTCTGAAGACCACTTAAACACGTAAGCGTTCTTCGTATTTGTAAATCTGAGTATTACTGAAAATTAAATAATTTACTACATGGCCGATAAAGATGAAATACAGGATTATATAACCCGCACACTATGAGTCCGTCTCAAGCTAGTACAAAATTTGTTAACTGGTCGAAAACAGTAGCCTATACGCTCTGAATTTAAAGGCACCTAAGAGCAAGAAGTGAAGTATAAATCTACTTCACTATAGGGATATTTTGATAAAATACTTTAAATAGTTTGATGAATTATGTGCGTCGGTGGCACAGTGGTTAGGATTCTCGCCGACCATGCACATGGTTCGGGGTTCGAGCCCACGCCGGCGCACACCTGATATCTATGGTCGGCCTGCAAAATTTGGGCTACCGATATCCATGCTGAAAATTCCATACTTGTACCAAAAATACAGTGTGGAATCAAGCTGTAAATCAAAAATAAAAATAAAAAAAAATAAAATAATAAATTTATTATTTTACGTAAACGCCTCAATCTGCATTAATGAAAAATCTCCACCTAAGAATAATACATATTGAGTAGATTCAAATTGCAGCTTCCGGACACTTGCTCCTGTGAACCACAAACCGTACACTTTCCAGAGTCAACTCTGAATATCATCTGACATGGTTATCAAGGGGACAATGAAAAGAATTTCTACGTCAACTCTAGAATATCGGAGGAACTCACGCAGCGCAGCTCCACTAGAGCTGTCTTTCATAATTGTATACAATGTGAGGACAAATGGCAGGAGGGTGTTATATTTCAGCATTTGTGTATGGAAGTGGCGCTAGCGATTCGTCAGTATAATCACAAACTCCGTGTGCTGAAAGAGTTTGTCCAGCATGTTTTTCTACTACGGTCTTAAACTCTTTCCTAGTTTGATATAAGAATAAAACTTGTGCACTGTGGTAGAGTGTAATTCCATTAAGGGCAAATTTTGTTTTGATAAAGTCTAACAGTGTCATACAGTAATGTTTACTCATAATCATATCAAGGTAATCACACGACATCCTAACTTCATTTATATAGTTCCATTGTTTTTCACTTGATTTAATTGGTAGTAGTATTGTCCATATTCGGGTATGAGTGATGAATCATTCCTATTGCATGTGTTGCGTGTAGACTCGATGAACAAGGATTCAGTAATCAACCTCTCTCTCCATCTATCTAGATTACTTTTTAGAATTTTAACCCTCTCCCACCCTAATGTGTGGTTGTGTGTTAGCGCATGCATTGCAATTGCTGAGCCTTTTTCTAAATTACATATCTCTAGCTTCTTGATACACATAAACTCACTATTGGAGGGAATAAAATTCACATTTGAATCGGAAAATGAACAAAGAGAATGTTAGATTGTAAAATAAAACGAATAGAAGAAGGTAAACTGCACACTTGTGTGTACAGAAAACGAACTCATTCTAATAGATACTTAGACTTTAATTCATCTCATCCGTTGACTGTTAAGGCAGGCTTAGTTAAGTGTTAACAAACCGAGCAGTAGCACTAAGTAGCACAAGAAAAGACCTAAATAATGAACTCAAACAGATAGAAAAGGCTTTGGTGTTAAATAACTAACTATCCTTTAAAATTCATTAGGAAGATAGAGAAAGGTCAAACGAAAAATAAAAGTAATTGTGAAACTAGTAAAAATAACATAAATAAGAGAGAATACAAGTCATCCACAGTTATACTATTGATATGTATCCACATATATATACTTATGTGTGTGTGTATGTTGGTCTCTCTTTCTGTTTGCTCGCTTAGTCTGTGACCATTTCACTTGTATGAACTTGTCTCCTTTATCAATGTATATTCTCCTTATATTATATTATATATAATATGAGTGTTTGTTGACAGTCCGTTGCTTGGTGACATATATCCATATATGGTGGTTGTTGACATGTCTGCTATATTTCGCTATGTATATATGGATCGATACTTCATTATAATTAGCCATTCATGTTAAGACTGTCCATTGATTTGTTCACACCCTTGTCTGGACATTCATATATATTTCGTTCTCACAATTTGTGTGACTTACACTTACTTACTACTTTTGGTGTGATACCACTTTTGCATTCTCCTTGTGTTTGGACAATAGAAGTATCATCGCAAACCTAGTGGTCTTATGATTTCCGCCTTCTTGCGTCAGGACTATTAGTTTCTCGACCAGTCCATAACAATAATTTGTCGACGAGTACATAACAACTATATAAAGAAGGGACATCTGAAACCCTACGTAGAATTCTAAATAAAGCAGGAATTAGGGTGGCATTTAAACCTACAAACTCACTCAGTGACAAGCTGTGTAGGTTAAAGGACCCAGTTGATCCAATTAGACAAAATAATATAATTTACAAAATACCCTGCAATGACTGTGAGGTCAACTACATAGGTCAAACTAGTAAGTCAGGAGTAGTCAGATTGTCAGAACATGAGAATTTAGCTAAGGTAAGAATGGTTGACCCCACTCGAGAAGATAAGTAACTTAGAAAAAAGCTCAGCAATTCCAATGCATGCATTAACACACAACCACACAATAGCATGGTGGGAGAGGGTTAAAATTCTAAGAAGGAATTTAGGTAGGTGGACAGCGAGAGAGGTTGATTACTGAGTCTTTCCTACTTTTTCGTTTCTACTTCTAGTAATCAACTCACTATCATCACCCTTACATGTCCTCTTTGTACCTTATCAAGTTTTCTTTTCAACTTCTTTATACTTTTCAAGTGGAACTCAACCTTGTTGCTTCTTATCTAATAACAATCATTACACCTTATCGAGTTTGGAACCTTTTCTTCCACCGTATTGTTGACTGAAGGCAAATATCTAATTTTTCTATTAATGATACACTTCAATTTATTATTGAGAGCATTAAAGATTTAATATCCCAAACAAGGTCATATTATCATTAGATGTGACTTAATGTTTTTTTTTATTTTATTTTAATTTACAACTTGATTCCACACTGTATTTTTGGTACAAGTATGGAATTTTCAGCATGGATATCGGTGGCCCAAATTTTGCAGGCCGACCATAGATATCAGGTGTGCGTCGGCGCGGGCTTGAACCCCGGACCATGTTAATCATTAATGTAGTCCTGTCGGAAACTGTCTGCTAGATATGCGATTATATTGATGCAAATAGTTCAGATATAAGGCTGTCAGTAACCAACCTCAAAGAACTCTTACTTAAATACATGTTGAAGGTTCAGTTCACTTTCAATAATGAGATCTTTTGAGAGATATATGCCATTGCGATGAGATCACCACTGGGTTAAATTACTGGCTTTTTGTTTTACAGCAAAGCTTAAAAATGCTCAACTTAGTCAAGACATCAGTTACCTTGGTGTTTATAGAAAACACATAGATTACACTTTCACTATCTGCAATAAGGACGTAATATTTGATGATATCTTGTTTGCATTCAACGACTGCCATCCTTCTTTGCAATTTTGTCATAGAAAAGAAATCTGAGTTAAGCATTCTGTTTTTTTTATGCTTACCTCAGTAGACGTAATAACGGACCTCTTAAAAGATCTTTCTGATAAACGATCTAAACTGGTCACTGACTAAGTTCTAAAGAAAACTATTCTCGTATGAATTTGGAATTTAAAGGTGATCAGGCTTTGGATATGCTCAAAAATTGTCTCCCTAAATCGATCAGCAGGACGTTATTTGCTGCACAACTATAAGTGGCCATCACCAATCGTAAGTCATTCTCTATCTATCCTCGTCTGGTTGTCTCCATGTGCATCTATCAGTTCGTCTGATGTGTGTGTGTGTGAAGCTCTATTCCAGAACACTTGATAGGCTTTTGTCAATCTACCAACCCTGATCAAGATCATCTGTCAGATTCACGCAAACTTGACGCGTTTTCTTCGTTATAAACTTTTACAAACAGCGGAGGCCTTGGGCATTCATAAATTCAAACCAGATACCTTTGGGTATAAAAAGAATTACGTGTAGTCCCTATTTCTAGTTAGGCTATAAAGGAATAAACATTTATTTATTTAATGTATACACCTTTTGTTATGACCAGAGCTATGACCTAGTGGACTATGAGAGAATACTAGCTTTAATGCGCCGGCTAATCTGTCCACATCGCACGTCAATAATAATAACACCACCGGACCACAAAAACAAAAGTCATAAAAAGGTTGACAGTTCTTGCGTACCTATATGTTTGAAATGACCTTGAGAATAACTAATGTCATTGATAAATTAAGACAGTGAACAACCAATAGAATTTCAAAGATCATAAGTGGCGTAGGAGAAAATCTGGTCATAAATAAGTGTGGTCACAAGAATGCAAACATCCATGTAAAAATGACATGTAGAAAATTAGGTCTGTGTGTATCACCTTTCCATCTTCCAATTATCATGCTAAATCAAAAATTCTTTGCAATATTGAATTCTATCTTATCGAATTCCTCATCACGTTACGTAACTTTTTTTTACTGGCCTACTAATCCAGCAATGAATACACCTCTTTCCAACATCTATACATCATATGAACTATTCGATGTATGGCATTACATGTTTCGCCGCTTGATATTCAACTATGATTATAATCATAAGCATTTAAATTGTATTTCCCGACAATTATTAAATTATATATTCACACCTTTGTTTAAATTTCCTCACGGGATATAATCATTTAAAATCCATATATATATATATATATATATATATATATATATATCTTATTCAACAGCTGTACGACAACGACACATGTCAAGTGATCCACAACGGAAAACTCAGCGAGGCGTTTAGAGTGAACATAGGAGTCAGACAATGGTGATTATTATCACCAATGATATCCCTAATTGTTGTGGATTGTTAACATTTTTTCAAGAAACTTCTCTCTAACAAGATATATACATATATATGTCGTAACACTTTAGACACCCTGTAAATCTCAACACCTTATTTCACCATGACGCTCTGACACTATGCTTGCTAATGGACAAAGGTTTGTTAAAAATTGTACACTGTTTATTTTTATTAAAAAATTAAGGTTGTATGCAGCTGATGAGAACCAACGAAATAAAATGGATCCAGATTATTCTGTGCCAATGTTTCTTCTCTCTCAATTTTTGTCTTTATTTATTTATTTTTCATAGGTGTGAACATCATCTAAGCTGTGTGAATAACTGTTAATTTTGTATTTCCCCTCACTATACTACATCAACAGAACATTAGATTCAATAATCTATAACATGCTAAAATTTCCAAACTGAGTCGACAATACGGTTTGAAACGAACTCACTGTTATTGTTATTATTAAAATTAATATTTTCAATTCGTGCTTCGAATATTTTTGACTTTATACCATAAATGTGAACAAATTCCTCTGGTTACTTTTATTAAAATTTTTAATTTTATTTATATTTTGAGTAAATTAGATGCAATATTGTGACAAATGCAGAGAATTCCATTCTGTATTATAAGTACTGTTTTTGGAATAAAGCAGGTTACTATTATTAATATTATCCACTCTTCTTATACAATTTTAAGTTGATTTAGTCGCTTTGTCGTTACCTAGAACAGGTTTCACCTCTGCAACAACCCAAATCGACTTGTTGTGGTCTGAAACCAGCGAACCGATTCTCGCAACTTACTGTATAGCTGATCAAAAGTTACTTGAAACACACACACAAAGACAGCTAAAATACGGTTATACGTCATAACATCTATGTGGTTCTATTCAACAATAATAAAGTAAAAGACTCAAAAATTCCCTCAACTATGCCGTTAAGCAGCTATACAAACTGTAACAACAGAAGACAACGGCCAGGCAACAGATCAATTATTATGGAAATCAACACATATTTATATATTTTCATGTACATTATTATAGATTATTGTTAGCAGAAAAACACAGTCTTCTAATTGGTTGTTTCTCACAGAAAGGTGGTAACCTTGCATCCATTTGTGACTGTTTCTTGAATGTCAGATCATCTATCTGCTAATTGTATCCGCTTACGCAAAGCCTTTGTTCTCATTTTTCTCACGATCTATATTGGGGACATAAACACTGACGCAAATTACTGTCCACCAATTTTATCTAACAGCCAGCTCTCACCACAAAACCAGATGCGTTCCTACGGTCAAAATAAGCATCGTAGAACAAAATTAGTTAACGAAAGTTCAACTATAAGAAATACCTGATAATCAAGAAGAATATTCATAACACAAGGGGAACGAAACTCTGTCAACAAGAATTAATCACTACACACTTCCTGAAGACAATTCAGGGTCATAATGACCTTCATTCACTCAAACAAAGTCACACAGTAATAAAATAACATGTTATCAATGTATCACACAGTTACAAGGAAGAGGCATTAAAATTAGAGATTAAACAGGAATAAATACAAATAATAAGGACCAGGTCAACATATGATATGTAAATGTCAGAGCAATGATATACAGTCTAGGAGACAACTGAAAACGGTGTGGAGTCAAACCTGCATGAAAGTTCTAGGCAGAAACAAGAGACAGGACAAGCAGTGGTCCGCTGGGGACACTTGGAAACTAATAGAAGGGAGAAGGTTAGTGAAACAAAAGATTATCCAGTCCACCGACGAGCAACAAAAACAGGAGTTGAATGCAAGCTATAACAGGCTGAACAAAATAGTAAAGAAGAGTGCCAGAGAAGACAAAAGAAAATATTATGAAGCCATGGCAAGTAAACCAGAACAAGCTGCAGGCAAAGGAGACCTCGTAATACTCTACCAAACAACTAAGCACCTATCGGGCAAAAGTTCGACACAGATTAAGCCAGTAAAGGATGACAATGGAAAGTCAATCACCAGAGAGGTGGAACAAAGAAAACACTGGGCTGAACACTTCAAAAGACCTCTAAATCGACTGCCAACTACAACGCGCCCAACAATACCAACAACGGAAGCAGAACTACCAGTGAACATCGACCCCCCGACGAAATCAGAAGTCCTGAATGTAATCAAGATGCTAAAAACCGGAAAAGCAGCAGGACCAGATGGAATCCCAGCAGAAGCATTGAAAATGGACCCAGAGACAACAGTAGACTTGATGACCCCATTACTGGAGAAGGTGTGAAAAGAGGGAAAAGTACCCGAGGATTGAAAGAAAGGATACTTATTCAAACTACAAAAGAAAAGAGACTTAAGACAATGCAAGAACCAACCAGGAACCGATTGTGAAACAAATAGGCAGGAAGAAATGGAGATGGATTGGCCATACGCTGAGGAAACCATCAAGTGACATCACACACCAGGCCATTGCTTGAGTGGAACCCGAAAGGGAAGCGGCGAGTTGGTCATCAGTGCAAGGGTGACTTGGAGGAGGTCATGTGAAAGGAAATAAAAGCGTGCGGCGTGAAGCCCTATGTTCCTCTAGCAAATAAAGGGAAAAATAATAATAATAAATTAAAATGTTAGTTGAAACATCCAAATAAGGAAAAAATGGGGTGATTGGATGTTTCAAGAGGGATTTTCAAAACAATTATTCTATTACGACCTCATTGTCCCATGTTTTCTGATTCTACAATTCTGAATATTCTCAGTGAACATGTCTGTTTCGTGATGACAATGCGAAGTACTTTGGCTGTCGTTAGCGCTAAATATTACGAAAATTTACGGAAGTTAGAACTCATGAACCCCTGGATTCCGACCCAGTAGCTGAATGTTAAGCGACGTTGGTTGCCTTGTAACCTGAAGGTCCTGGATTCGACCTGTAGTAAGGTTATGGGTGCATGCTGATGAGGAGTCCCAGAGTAGGACGAAACGGCTTTCCAGTACCCTCAGATTTTCACTGGTTTTCTGACTGATACCGATTCCTGATTTAACTTTAAACCAATCAAATCCCAATGAAAAACTACTGGAACACTTACCGGTCACATAATCAAATCATAGGTCTCCCATGCTAGGTGAATAAGACTGACTAAAATCCAGCAGTTGTCTCTAAAAGTAAGGGAATATGACAGTGTGATGTTATGTAACGAAGAAAAAGCTGACAAGCTCTAATGATCCTATTAAACATATATAACATTAATAAGTGAATAATAATAATAATGTACTGATACACTGCCTGAAATATTTTCCCTTATTCCGAATCACTTCTCATCTGGACATATTTAAGAGTAATTCCTTGACGTTTTTGTTAGTTTATGCTGCTTCTTTGACAACGCTTATTGTGTAGGCTAAAAAAGTTTTATTCAGCACAGAAATACTTCTTTTCAACGAATTCATTTTCAAGCTGCGTAGTTGTAATTGTATCACGTAAAAAAAGGGCAGTTAATCTCCTCCCTAAAAAACCTTAGTCAATAAAAAGTATGATTGAGGCGAGTATTGTGGTATAGGGTTTAAGCCTATAGATCACTGACTCCACTAACTTGCATTGAATTGCACAAATCCTTGAAAAATATGTACATGAATGGGATTATTTAATACCTGAAATATTACAGAACACAAATCAGTAGTGTAGTATTTTCAGTTTAACACAGTTGGCATGAACAATCTTCCGTGTTATACGCAATAACAGAATACACGCTTACAATAGTAGTTTATAGTAGAAAAAACAATTGCCGAAAGGCTAAAACACAATGGCGTACACAAAAGTAAATGGTATCAGGAAACGAATAAGGTATGAACCAATCAAAAGATACCTGACAATAAGCAAATAATTTCGGTAATTACTTTGGCATCACGCCAAAAATACGTGAAATCAATATAAACTACTTAAAAAGTAAACAGTAGTTTGAGATTTATGCATCAAAAAGTAGATAATGTCACATGCATGTCTTTCCGCATGAAGTGAATCAAGCTACTTAGACGATCATAAATACAGTAAAACATCGTAAAAGCCATTTGGGTAGATAAAATGTCGATATGTAGAATAGGTAATTTTTACTTCCCACACTACTAACGTTTTGTGGTGAGTTACGCATACGAATCGTGTCCCAACATCCTGAAAGATTAGATAAGCAGATGGATATAGTAATCTTTTAAAATTAGGTTATTCAGAAGTCATCTGCAGGTGGAAATGAGCCACATTTGTTGTGTTGGCGCTAGTGATATTGTCTGAATGCCCAGACTTAGCTAGATGGGACAGGATCAGAATCCGCCACCGTAAGCTTGGCCAGTGAATCACAGCCCCAATATGACATTTTACAGGTGTTTCAGGCGAGAAAAAATATTGTTTAACAGAAACTCATGATTTCAAAGCCTTAGAAATCCCTCTCCCTACATTGTATATCACCGGACGACAGTTCCGCTCGTTTAAGGACAAGCGAATCAGTGACGTATTAAATATGACTCAACTCAAGGAGCCAAACTAGCTCAAACCACCCAATTTCTGGCTAGTTACTTGGATGAACTGGATATGTCATAAATTATATTCGTAGTTTGCAAGTTAGTTAGCAATTTGAAATGAACACAGTTCGAAGACTGAAATTTAACCATAATTTTCTTTAAAAGAGTAATTATTCCGATAGAAATATGCGATCTACTTGATACCATATATATGGTAATCAAGAAACCAAACATGATTGCACCACACTACATATTACTGATTGACGGAGGTAAGTAGTGGTATGCAGTGACATGTCTAGAATCTGCAACACAGTTGTTTTTAAAAGACTGCAGCTAAGCATAGATGGATATCTGGAGCGGGGAGGGGGTGGGGGGCTTGAAACAAACAATTAGTTATCAGCCAAGCATTCTATGATCTAGTGGTGTTATTAGGCATAAAATCCTACACAAGAAATACAACGAGTGTTATTAACCAGATTCATGCATGCAAATCCTAGATATCACTATAAGATACCACCTTCGCCTTAATAATTGTTCACATTCTACAGATAAAAAGGGTCATTTCATTGTCATCGAATGACTGTCTGTCTGGATGATGGATCAGAAGAACTTTTGTGTGGTTATGGAATTATGAGGTCGGTTATTACCTACGATAACTCACACCATGGAAATTAATTTCTTCTTCAAGTACCTGGAACAGAGGCAGCATTATTGTTCCATGAGTGCATACCTCAGGGAAAACTCCATGACGCCAGCTTCACACGTCCTGTTTTAGATAGTTTTTGAAATTGTTTCCGTATTGATATCTTAACGCCACAAGTTAAGTTGGGATGTACAATTTTCGGGGTTGACATTTTCTCAGCCCTCCATTGCCCATAGCGAAAGGGTAGCATAGCTAGCTTGTTGATCATCCAAAGGAGATACCTCACTAGCATTACAATTTCATCCGTCAGCAGTACAATTTCTGCCACAGAACCCTAAGCATATTGTTAAAGGTTGGGTCATTACGATTTACAAGCCTCACCACCAAGTCAAGGTAGCACCACCTATCGGTCGGGTTTCACAATCGCCACAATTGTACATAAATGCAAACACAATGTAAACACTCTTAATCCCTGTTGATATATGATTATTTATTTATTTATTGTCTACGAATATTTAGTGCATAAACAAAGTGACATCTTTTGCTTCAACTTTCCTCCACTGTATGTTATGATGAAAAAGCTTGACAGTTGTTTATACACATAACTAATCAATTTCTACAACCCTTTTCCTAATGTGAACCAAATGAAAACCGCAATGAAAACAATAATAATAATAATTAGTATTACAGTTGGGATTAACACCAACGTTGTGTATCACATGATTTTGTTGAGATTACCGATAGACCATGCCTTGTACAAACGCTGATCAACACATTATTATTATTATTATTGACATAAAAGTGAAGGTCCACCCGAAGATATGTCATAACACCCAGCTAAAATCTATCTATCTAATCTATTGTAGGTGTTCACAGACCAGTACCAGAGTATTTGTACGTTTGCATATGTGTGTACGTGAATGTATGTACGTCTCCAAAAGTCCTCCTACACACTAAGTATTGATTTACATGGACAGCTACGACTATTATTATTATTATTATTAGCAGTATGTGCTTTGACTATCAGAATACAAGAGGAACCAAACAATCAGCAAAAGAAACAACTTCAAGGTTATTATTATGCCTCTGTTACAAGAAACCTAAAAAAGGTAGACAGAATTAATTACATCACATAACATACAGTTTGTTTTTATTTTCCTATTGATTTAGAACCAATGATAAAAGGTGTACATTACAATGACAGTTAGATGAAGCTCAACAATAGCGTGCCAGGAGTGCGAACGTTCCAATGACCTTGAACGCAGGATAGTCGTTGGATAACGGCATCTGTCATTTTGCTAGCTGAAATATCAACGCTATTCACCAGTTAAGCAGCAAATTTCACCCAGATCAGATCACGTTTTTAAGTATTGTTTCGACAATGTGTTAATAGCTCGTTAGGGTTAGGATCAGGGCTAAGATAAGTATTGGGGATAGGGGTTACGATTAGGGTTATAATTAGCATTAGGGTTAGGATTAGGGTTTGAATAAAGGTTATGATTAGGGTTAGGATTAAGATTCGGGTTATAATTAGGGGTAGATTTATAGCTGATGTGATTTATTTTAATTTGTTATAATTATTCACATTTTGCCAATCCTCTTGCTAGAAACCATAGTAATGCAACTGAGGGCTTTGGGAAAGGATCGGTCTTTAGTCCATTCGCTCGAAACATGTACAGAAACTAGTCTAACTTAGCCAATGATACTCCTCATTATAACTGGGACGTATTTTTAAGTCCTGTCAGAGAAAGATAACCTGTTTAATGTGATTTAATGCATTTCCTTGTAAATATACGTCATTTTTTTGTGCAAAAGTCACTTATTTTTATGATTGGCCGGCTGAAGGTCACTCGTGCGTTCGCATTCTTTTGGATGCTTATTGTTGAACTTTGCCGACAGGAGAAATAGACAACAAAAAACCATTAACTGAATACTGACAAGTTGATTGGTTAGAACACAACAGCACATATGAATGCTTAAAATTACTTGTAGACTAACAAGGTATATTGATCTAGCCGGTTGAAAGCTATCTAAGTTCGTTATTATTTTCTAATATAAATTAGATAAAATTAGCATAGGTCAATTTGAAGGAAATACGATTAGAGCAACACGAAAACCGCTTTCATCAAATACTTTTCTAGGTAGAAGTTAGAATTGATGGGTCACTGAATCGGCTCCCAGTGGCTGAATGGTACACCAGCTGCTTGCCTTGTAATCGGGGAGGTCCTGGGTGCGTACTGCCGATGATTCCCCAACTAGGATGAAACAGCTGGTTGTCCAGTACTCCCTGGTTCTCTAACTGATTTCAATCCGTTATCAACTCGTAAAAACATTTCGTAAGATGTTGAAACCTTAATTTATCTATGATTACCAATAGTGATCAATTCACCTAGGGAACAGTGAATGTAATACGAAGAAGTAAAATGATCGAGTGAAGAAATATTGACTTTTCAATTAGATCCTCATCTCTCTCTGGCTCTACTTTAATATATATATCCATAGCATTTTTATTACACTACACAGCATATTTCCAATGAAGTGGAGATATGTTTGTTAACAATAATTAGCCAATGTTATTAGAAGACAGAGATTATCTGAAAAATGTGATGAACTTGCGCTGTACATTTCGAACAATCTGATAACTGGATTTTGAGACTAATGTTAAATTCGATCCTCCGTAGGACCTATTATGCAGCCCGGTTTGTAATTATCGAAAAAGCCGAAAATATGCTCCACTGCAAACCTTAGAAGTAAACAAGTGATTATGTCACATCACACACTATTTACCAATTTTCGTGTGTGGGCACACATACATAGGGAACAGTGATCGTGCACTGCATGTGAGGGTGGGAGAGCATATCCCGAAATAGTTACAAAGACAAATGAATTGTAGAAAATCAATAGACGTAGGTGGCAGACTGCCGACTTCGTCTATAGCTAAACATCTAATCGAGCTGAACCATAAGACTGATGTTAACACGGCCTTTAAGGTTACCGACTAAAATGG